AAGGTATTATTTTGTATTCAAGGGTGACAATGCATTTGCATTTTGATACTTAATCAAGGATTAATATAGGTGTCTGTGGGCCACAGCATTCACTTACTATCAAGAGAAATGGGTGGTTGCCTGTCATGTTTAATTCTATAAAAAATACAAACTTCTTCTGTAACTTAAATATATTGTACAGAATACTTAATTATATTTCAAATTTTATAATATTTCGAATATTTATTACAGCTAATAATGTTTCGGATGGGCGGCCAGTGAGCAAAATACTGAAAAATACTGCAGAAATAGTATTTTTTATGGATGACCTATTTGATAGTGTGAATGGAAGTGCGGTAATAAATAAAAAAGAAGAGAGAAAGAATTAAGAATTGCTGTTACAGAAAAATGTAAACACCATGCATTCAAGCCGCAAGCTATGTTAAAATTAGAAAATTTAAAATTTATAATAAAAATGGTCATGTATGTACAGTGCCAGTATAAAGAACTGGATAAGTACCATAAAAAGATTTATGAATTTGTGGCAGTTTTAGTCCAAGAAAAATATAAAGGTTATGAGACCCTGTTATATACATTCCGATGCAATCTAATGTTTTTTCAGTCAAATAAGATCATATAATTTTAGGGACAATAATCCAACTTGCCACAATTTCATAAATGCTTTTAAATCTTTATTAATTACGGGTTTCATTAAATTTCACCACTCATCTTGTAATTATGGAGATGATGTTAGTGCACAATTATTAAAAATTATTAAAGGGAAGTGAGTAACGAAAGTGGTAAAACTGGTGAATCCATTAATTCTAAATAGTGGTCTTGTTCTTTTCTCGCTCAAAAGCTAAGTTTAGCCATTCAGCGGGGAAACGCCGCCAGCATTCTTGACGCGATACCGCGGGGAGTAGGGCTGTATGATAATTAAGTTTTAGTTTTTTTTTTTTAATTATAGTTTTAATAAGCTAAAACGGGATCAAAAAACAGGTCTCATTCTAAATTTGTAAACAAAATTATTGTAAGGTTAAAATGAGGACTGTATGATAGTTATGTTACTAGTTTTCGTTTTTTAATAATGTATAATATTAATAAGTTAATTATTAAATTTGTTAACAGTGGTAGAGCCACGCGGCAGCTTTTGCTGTCGCACGGATGGGCCGGCTCGAACCGGGGTGGTACCACGACCTCACAGAATACCAGAGTGAAGTAGAGGTTTACCTCTGCGTTTCGCTTGGTGAGTGCAGGTGGCCGGAGGCCCTTTTTACTGGAAATGAGGCATTCCATCTTAGTCCTCACGGGTGACAACGCATCTGCATTTTGATTTTTAATAGAGGATAGATGTAGATGTCTATGGGCCGCAGCAACCACTTACCATCAGGGGGACTGTGTGCTCGTTTGTCACCCTTATCCTATAAAAAAAAAATTATTGTAAAGTAAAAATTAATAACTAATAAAAAAATATTAAATTTCCACATTGTTTCATTTGTATTTACCTCGTTTTATTTTCAATATAATAAAATTAATTTTGCAAGTGGTTATTATTTGGGACGTCCTTTGCCTGGTATAACTGCTTCAAATTAAAAAAAAAAACAGAAATGTCATATATCATTTTGCTACAACCGTAGAGAGAGTTAGTTTATTCCCTCTCTACGGCTACAACCATTCAAGATGCAGAAGCTAAGTCTAGTAAGTTTAGTTCTTGAGATGTCCGTCTTGTTTAGATAAAATCTACTAGGTAGTCTGTGGCATGGGTATACAACTTAGAACATTATTTTACGAAAAAAATTATACGTTTTATGTGCTTCCATCTACATTCCGAAGCGCTAGGCTAGACTTATTTTAATCTCACTAGAGGGCACTTATATATTAAGTCTATGCATACGCAATAACCCACGCGCACTACGCAGTTTGTAGCGGTCACTGGTTACGCTTAAATTGTTATTAATATTTATTGAACATTATTTATTTTTAGAAAATGCCATTTTATCTGTTTTCAAACAATGAAAAACTGCTAAAATATTATTAGAATACGAAGGTAAATTTCGCCACAACGCACAAGGTTGTAGTAGCTGAGGTGGATAATCGGGCGATCCCGAAATCTACAGACCCCGGATCGCGTTTGTTTGTTTTTTCTCTTTTTTTCAAGTTCCTTCTTTTGTAAGCGCCATCTGTTATGCAAAGCACGACACTAAAGAAAATTAAATTTGAGTCGCGCATCTATCTCTAGTATATATATAACTGATATTTAGTTTTCATATCGTTATTGAAAACCGTTTCCAAATATCGATATCATTAGTAATGGTTTACAACCGAAACATAACCTAAAATCAGGGGTATGAAAGTCCTCAGTAGCTTGCTTTACGTTGATACTAGTGCCATCTCACAGTAAAAGTACTATTTTTCCCGATATTTTTACATAATCTATTAAAAGATGGCGCCACTGTGGGTATTTATTATTTATACCGAAGCTTAAATCATGCTAGCAGTTTTGAAATACGCCGGTATATAAATATATAGAATAATTCTTTGAAAATTAAGAAAGCAATTCACACCATGGTTTTCTCCATAGACATAATAAATATTTACTTAAAACAAATTAGTTAATATTTAAATTTAATTGATTTCCTTTTAATTTTATTGAAATATGTACAAAATAATACTGAACCTATATGATAGCGCCCTCTAGTGTAATTTTCAGTAATTTATAATGCCTACGCCATCTATAAAAGCGCAGAAGAAACTTTCCTCGTTTCATTTAAAACAAATTAGTTAATATTTAAATTTAAATTAAATTGATTTCCTTTTAATTTAATTGAAATATGTACGAAATAATACTGAACCTAGATGATAGCACCCTCTAGTGTAATTTTCAGTAATTTATAATCCCTACGCTATCTATAAAAGCGCAGAAGAAACTTTCCTCGTTTCGTCACCTAATTATTTTTCAGAGTGGCTCATCTATGCCTGAAAACTGTAGAACGAGTGCAACATTTATTTTACAAATTACTTCGAATATTTTAGTTTAAAAGTCAGAGGCACTAATATAATCCATGAAGCTAATACAAAGGGGAGACGGCATAAGCAACTGTGCACTGTGATTCTAAGTAGGTCCTGACGTCATCATAGTGGGCGTGGCTTTAGTTAGTATACTGTCAGCATTCGTCCTGTGCGCTCATGTGTTGAAAAAATCGCAAATCGATGTATTTTCGTAGTATTAAGAAGAAAAGGATGAAGTGTTGTGTTTTATTGTGTAAAAACTACTCAGATAGACGCTCTGATGTTATGGATGGCATCACATTTCATTTGTAAATAATTTTACACCTAATTTATTAAAATAGTTCTAGAAAAATCTCTTTGCGTCGGCTTTCAAATATAATTAAATATATTCCACACTAGATGGCGACACTTTGTGTCCTGTGAACTAAAAATATAAAGGTACGTAGAGCTCAGTAAAGATAAAATAATCATACGAAGGTGCTAAAATTTGTTTTGCATTCAGACATAAAGAAATTTTAATCGCCAAAATATTATTTTTTAGTTTATAACATTTTGTGGATATGCCGCCATCTACCGTCAATGTAGCCAAGGTACATTGCAACATTGATATGGAAAGATTCGAGTAGTTTTACTATTTATCGGTAGATGTAGATAGTGTAGTGGGCGGGGCTTTGCATCCCCTCACCCCGCAAATTGTCACGCGTTGTTTCATAGTGAAATTGAATTACAACGTCTCCTCTTTGTATTTGCTTCATGATATAATCTTAGATGTAATATTTAGACATGTATGTTAATATATAATTTATGATTGTTATGCAGTAATATAGTATTATAAATGTCTAAAATTACATTCTTTCTATTCTCATTTAAATGTCTATAATGGTTACACCCATATTTTTTTAAAGTGAGACGTAGGATCAGAGTTTGATTTCGAAGTCTATAATTAAACTGTATTCATAAGTAGTAAACATAATTTATATATATATATCATATATATATATTCATTTAGAACATTATTATAGGTACATAGTTTATTTATTATTATTATATTAATAATCATTATTTTTTATAATGATTATTTAAGTTGGCAATTTACCTTCATATACGTAACTAGGCTTAGGACTGACAGGAAAGTTTTAAAACAAATGTACAAAATGCAAACAAATATTACAAATAAATGTACAAACGCAACATCAAAAATTAATAATTTTACAGATAGTTTCATAGTGAACGGCACACGCCACCAATTTAAAGTGCGTAATTGTTACGTTTGAAAAAAAAATCAAATTCTAACTTTCACATAAACAAAAGTTGCCTAAACGAAATATAATGTGACGAAACAAATCTAAGTCTAGTGCCTAATGTCCTAAAGATCATTTAAATCTGACAACTCTCACAACTACACGAACTTAAAAAATTTGGCAATTATAACCATTTAAAATTCGACCTTATTGTTAAGAAACTTATAATTATATTTCACTACGTGCACCACTTTATGATAACAACCAAAACATCGCAACGAAATCCATATTCGCTTCATCTCTTTCATACGTATTTATGATACTGTCGCTAGAACGAGAAACAACGAAAATCAAAGGACATCAGTTAGTTTTGGTTTTGGGCCGTTTTCAGTTTTTGGCATATCGTTACAGTTTGCGTTTTACGTTTCGTACGTTGGTTAGTTGACTTTGGGTTTTGGTTGGATATGTGATAACGGTTATGTTCTTAGGTTTATCGATATGATATGATATTTGATAACATAACGTTATTAGTTACGTTTTGATATATCGGTCTCATGCCTAGTAATCTATGGTCTGTGGCTCTGTGGGACCGGTCTAGACTTGGCAGCACTGGTCACCTATTGTCAATATCAGTATGCATTATATTATTATTTATTGAGATTTTTAAAATAGTTTTAAATTAAGTAATTTTAAAGTTACCTTTTTGATTTACACACTACAACACTAATTCTTTAAGTAGATAGTAGGTAGGTTATTCTTAATTGTAATATAATGGCAGCTGAACCTAAATCTGTTAACGAGGAAGATTTGAAATTATTGAAAGAAAGAATGAATTTAATTGCAAGTGCGGATCCGGCCCAATATCATAACGAATTTTCCTTGCGACGATACCTAAGAGCTTTCAAAACTGTGGATAATGCATTTCAGGTACATAATTTTATTTATTCATAAATAGTAATTTGATTACCTACCAATTTGAGGTATCCCTAATTGAAAGTAATAACAATAACAAAATGTAGAATATAACACGAACGATATACTATCTTTTCATAATATTGTAAATGAAACTGTTGAAATTAGATATGTATATTTCTGTTTAATACTTTTCATAATATTCTAAAGAAACCTATAAAATATATCTGAGGACATTGAGGTTCCTTCTGTGTGTAAGAAAATATGATTTCACATCACATCTTTGATTTTGGTGAAAAGAAAGGGCTAATATTGTATGAAATTTAGTTTGGTTACTGGGTAGGTCTGGTTTGTGGTGTCAGAGGCACAGTATAGACATGACTGAGAACTGAGACTGAGAAAAATAGGATTTTTACACTTTTCATTGTCAAAATTTTGTCCATTCATACACCGGTCTGTCGTTTTATTTTGCAAAATGTAAAAGTAAATCCACATCAGAAATATTTTTATCTTAGTGCAAGAATGACTTTAACAAATGAAACTGTAACTGTTTTATATTTTTTTTAAATATTATTCTATATAATATATATTTATTACTGTATATCGTTACAGCGTTTATACCTCCCACTGCTGGGCTCAGTCCTACATTTCTAAGAGGATTTCAGAGAGTAAGATATCTGTGCTGATTGTTATTCTTCTAAATCTACTTCTTTTCTGCTGTCTTTACATGTTTTTGAAATATTTAATTACATAGACAAGCCAGTTTCCTCACAATGTTAAGGTGTACCACTGTGCATGTGGTAAATCAGCATTTAAAATTGTAATTAGTGATTGCATTGGTGCTGGCAGGTATCAAGCTATGGTTGCTTGCATATTGTGAAATTTATGATAAGTGCTTATTCTCTGACCTGTTCACATATCTTCTCTATATATAAAAATCAATTGCTGTCCATTAATCTCACTAAAACAAAAACAGCTCATCCAATTTTGATATCATTTTTTGTGTGTGTTTGAATGGTTTGGATTGTTTGGATTCACAATTTTACATGGTAGGTGACACTTTTGTTGAGATCCAGAAATTGTTTATGTGAAGCCATTGATTTGCTACTGATTGCTAGAATATAATAATAATATCATATCTCTTTTAGGGCATTCTAAAGACAAATAAATGGCGGAAAGAATATGGAGTAGCAGAATTGCATGATAATAAAGAACTTATTGAAAAGTACAGTGATAAAGCAAGAGTACTTAAGCATAGGGATATTGTCGGCAGACCAATCATTTATATCCCAGCTAAAAATTATAATTCCAGTGACAGAGACATTGATGAACTTACTAAATATATTGTATATTGTCTAGTAAGTAATTTATATAATATATGTATTGAGCTTTTCCATGGCAGCAATTAAGAATCACTCCCATCTTAAGGGTAGTACACGGCCCTAAGGGAAATGCCTAAAAATTGTGGCCTGCAATAAATAGTAGTATAACCATCTGATATTCACACAATATCAGTGTAAAATAGCAGCTTACTGCTGCTGTGTTTTGTATGGTGAGTGTAGAGAACAGGAGACTCTTTTTACTTGAAACTAGGCATTCCATCTTATTCCTCAATGGTGACAATGTAGATGTTTATGGGCCACAGCATCCACTTACCATCAGATGAACTGTGTGCTCATTTGTCACCATTATACTAAAACAGATATATAACAAAATTAGACAATTGATTGAAAGCCAGTTGACATGGTGTTCCAAAGGTTCAAAACATTTGATGTTGTAATTGTATGCCTGCTAAGCCAAGCCTACCAATTATGGCATATTCTAACTATTATGGGTGACACTTATCTAATAAAATAATTGTTTTTTAATTCATCCATTGTTATAAGAGAACTAAGAACTGCAATTTGGTATCAATATAAAAAAAAATATTTTCATATACCAAGTGTGAGTGATCTGGAACATTAAAAAAAAAGTAATTGCAATCATCAATACTTTGATGTGACTCGGGTCACATGAACAAATCATTCACCATTGACACATGTACATATAACGAGGATATAAGAGTAGGAATATAGAGGACTTTTGAATTATTTTATTACAAAGTAAACTTGGTAAAAGGTTTATAAATCATTTTTATTGCTTTATCATTACATATTACCACGTTTACATAATGATTTCTAATATTTACGCGAACACTACACATTGAATAAAACTATTTTTACGGATTTTATCGCGTTTAATTAACTTATTTTATATTTCCGACGTTTCGGTTGCTTTCCAGTTGAGTCCCCCGTGACCACGGTTGCTGGAAAGCAACCGAAACGTCGGAAATATAAAATAAGTTAATTAAACGCGATAAAATCCGTAAAAATAGTTTTATTCAATATTACCACGTTTTTATTCCATCTAGTGGGAGCTGTTCTATGCTTCACTTACTCTTACAAGGCTGCCTCTCTAGAACCTAACTTCCTCATCGGTAGTCTGTTTTTGGAACTATAATGGTCGGCCCAGTGCACTTCAGCGTGATGATCTGTGGGCTATGGTGGTTGCTCTGGTTCCACTTTGGATATTCTTATTATGAATTCTATCATGCAGAGAAACTCCAACCATAATCCTCGAAACATTATTCAGGTCATGACTGGCAAAGCTTTTTTATATTGTGGACAAAATATAGCTAGAGGATACCACTTGAATATAGAAAAATCAAACCATGCAAGTCATACCAAGCAGTGTTTAATATAGACAATAAGAGGCCAAAAGCTATCCTCTACAATAACAATGTTTAGATTCACAGGAATATGGGAAACACTGGAATGAGTTAATGCACAAAGTAAAGTGGTATTTATTACTTTAAACACTGCAGATATTCATTACAAATGAATACTTTTAGGAAGAAGCAAGTAAACGCTGTTTTGAGGAAGTGGTGGACAACTTATGCATTGTTTTTGACTTAAACAATTTTACACTATCCTGTATGGATTATCAAGTGCTTAAAAACCTTATTTGGCTACTAAGCAGACATTATCCAGAGAGGCTTGGTGTTTGCCTTATTGTTAATGCCCCAGCTTTTTTTTCCGGTTGCTGGGCTGTTATTAAAGGATGGTAAGTTTTTTGAAATATCTTACATCATATTCACTATTTCGTTTTTTTAATGTACAGTGTGACTATCTCTTATGAGTTCATTGCTAAGTATACAATTAATTTTTAATTTATATACAATTATTAATTTTTTTTAATTTATATATCTATGGAATATAGTAAAAAGATGAAGTGGCAAAGACCATAATTTCTATCAGAACCATTATCGTCAAACCAATACATATTAGCATGGATATAAATGTGTAGGCACTGACACATGTGCTTGTGAATTGGTATTTGGTAATAATAGAGAAATAATTTATGTTACTCGCCATCAGCTTGAGTACAAAGCATAAGTAATTATAAACACATTATTTGTATTAATCTAGAAAATTAACAAGATTAAATAGCAAATTCAGTCACTTAACGTGAAATGTCGCATTTATACCGTGAACTGTTTTAAAAAGCACCATAAGTGTGTACAAATAGAGATCATTATGTCTTTTATCTAAAAATATATGATGATTGACAAACTAATTTGGTTACTCCTCTCTATTATATGCACAATGCTGATTGGCTCTAAGTTGACTTTTTCTTAAATTACATCTTACAAAAACAAGTATGGCGTAGCAGTACAAGGAAAACCTATCAAACTTAATTGATAATCAAAGTATGGAAGTATAATTAGAAACTTAACCAAATTTATTAAACATTGCATTAATGTACTACTAGTACATATAAGTAATCTAATCTATTAAGACAATGTAAACGTACAACTAACAGTCAATTAGGCAGTACTGAGCCTATTTATTGCATGCGGCCACTTTGTGCTTGTTTTAATATTTTGTCTAATTTTCCATCTGTGAGTATATATAATAATAAAAATATAAACAGTATATAATAAGTCTGTAGGTAAAAAAGTAAAGTTGTTTTTAAATGTTTAAGTCTATCTGTGATGTATTAATATTTCACACAATCATTCTGTATGTTTTGTCCAATTAAGGCGATGCAAGAAGTGTGTATATTTTTCTATTCTAATCTACCTACATATACTAAATTTTAGTACCTACATGTACTTCGAATATTTCATATTATGTATTATTAGTCATTAGTGTACTTACTTACTTATCTTCACGCACAATCCCTGACGGGGTAGCCAGAGAGAACAGATCGCCAAGTGTCACGATCCTTACATATCTCTTTCGCTTCTTTCAGATTCATTATCTTCTTCATACATGCACGTCTAGGTATCCGAGTACTCTTGACCCTACCCTCTTCGAGCAATTTGCTCACATGGTCTTCGAAAGTTAGTCTCGGTCTACCTCGACACCTTTTAATATTAACTTTCGCGCTATATATTTTCTTCACCATTCGGTCTTCACTCATTCGCTCAACGTGCCCAAACCACCGAAACACGCCCTTATCAATTTTTGTGATAAGGTCATCTTTCAAACCTGCCATATTGCGAATCTCTTCGTTTCGCTTTCGGTCGGCCATAGTAACGCCGCACATTTTACGAAGAGATCGCATCTCCACTGCATTCAACTTACTTTTATGCTTCTTCTGGCATACCCAGGTTTCGCTGCCATATAACAAAGTCGGTACCAACACTGCGTTATATATTGCAAGGCGTGCACTCTTCGCTACGCCTTGCCTTTTGACTAACGCAGTCAGGGCACCATTGACTTTGTTCCCGGCAGCGACACGCCTGTCCACATCTAAATCACATCTTCCATCCCGGCTAAAAACACTCCCCAAGTATACAATTTCATTTACCTGTTCTAGACATTCCTGATTTACCCATATTTCACACTTCGTTCTCTCTTCGTCCCTTTCAAATACCAGAACCTTAGTTTTATTAGCATTCAAACGGAGACCTTTAATTTCACATTCCTCTTTCATACACGTGACTAATGCCTGCAGTTCTGCCTCTGATGGTGCAATAAGCACTGCATCATCAGCATACAGCAGACAATTTACTTTTATGTCACCCAATTTCACACCCAAACAGCTATCTTTCAGCTTTTGTAAACAGCTGTCGAGATACAGTATGAACAGCCAGGAAGACATGACACAACCCTGTTTTACGCCCGTTTGGACGCTAAACATGGGTGACAGGTCATGCCCTACCCGCACACAGGCTTTACAGTCACAGTAAAGAGACTGCACAGCCCTTAGCAATCGGCCATCCACACCATACCCCGGCAACAGTTCCCACATTTTCTTCCTTACAACCTTATCAAATGCTTTCTCAAGATCCACAAAAGCACAGAAAATCTTCTGGTTAACAGCCAGAAGCTTTTCCGTGATCATACGGATAGAAAACATTTGATCCATGCATCCTCTTCCAGGTCTAAATCCGCATTGTGCCTCCCATAGAAATCTTTCCGATTTCTCTTGCATCCTACGTGTCAAAACCTTCGAGTAAACTTTACTTGCTAAACTGGTCAAGCTGATCGCCCGATAGCACCCGCAGTCAAAATGTGAACCTTTACCTTTATATAAAGGCACAATGACTGCGGATCGCCAATCCGGGACATCCCCCGTCCGCCAGCACAAATTGCACAGCAGATGAAAGCTGTCCCAGACGCGAGGCCCACCATACTTGACCATTTCAGCAGTAACTCTATCTAGTCCCGCAGCCTTACCACATTTCAAACTTCGAATCGCACGTTCAATCTCTTTCATACTGATGACCTCAGTGTCATCGAGGTCCGGGTCTGGCGTGCCAGTCACGGCGTCATCCCCGGATCCCTCACTAAGATCATCACACGCATACATTTCTCTATAAAATTCGCTCCATCGCTGCATGACGTCCGATTTTTCTGAGAGGACGTCATTAGTTCTCGAAAGCACTTTGTTCATTCTTAAGGCCGTCGCACCACTTCGGGTCCTTCCAACCTCTTTCCAGAAGAGTTTGGAGTTCTCCTTAAAGTTGTGCGACAACCTTTCATCCGCTTCCATTCTACACCTTTCACGCACTTCCTCAATCAATGCTTTCGTGTGAACTTTCTGCAGCTTATATCTTTCTTTCATCTTCTCTCTCATATCCTTATCATTACTAGAGGCCAAGTAGTCTAACCATGCTTTCTTCTTCTTCTTTACAGCTACTTTCACTTCATCATTCCACCATGCATCTCTTCTTTTACTACTGCCTCTTTTTATTGTTCCACACACTTCTTCCGCTGCACTTACCATTCCATCCCTAAGGTTCTGCCATGTTCTTTCTACACATTCGTTTAGTCATTAGTGTATCCTACAATTAAGCAAAAGCTTCTTTAATTTTCCACATTTAACTACCACGTGATACAAATCTGCAGGCAAAAGCTATGCTGTCATAAATTAACTTTTGTTTTTTATTTTACTTCCCAGACCAACAAAGAAAGAAAGACAGAACGCTTTCGAACATTTCAAGTGATGCCAAGACCATACTCAACTTCTTGACACACACTCAAGCATACCACTTACTTTTTTCTTTCTTTTAGAGTCTGTAAAAGTCCACGATTGGAAACACATATCATGCACCTAAAACCATGTTGTGGATTGAAGATGCGTAAAAATAAATAAGTTGAGCATGAGTTTAAAAGCATTTGTTTAGTGCTCAGTCTTTCTTTCGAACGCATTTTATTCTTTAAATGTTTTAAGTCAAACTCAGACCAATAAACATTTTAAGAATAAAATGTTTTAACCTTCTTTAAAGCTTCCATCAACTTCCATAATTATCAATAAAATGAAGAAGTACTTGTTCTAATTTTCAGGTTAGATGAAAACACAGCTGGAAAAGTAATTTTTGTCAATTCTGAAATGGATCTTTGCCAATATCTTATCCCAGATATCTTGCCAACTGATATGTAAATTGATTAATATGTCATGTTAGTTATAAATCACAGATATGAAAATTCGATTCTGATGTCATTTTATCAAATTATTGTAAAAGAAACCTGTTGAAAAAAACGATTGGTGAAACATATTTATAGTTTATTTAATTTTGTAATAAACAATGTAATAACTCATATTATTATGAATCTGTTTCAATTTTAACCACAATTTTATCACATCAGGAATCGAATTTAAAAAATAGTAAGCTCCTAAGAGCTTCTGGTCAAAGGTAGATTAAGGTATGGAAGGGTAATATGGCCACCTTAAAGTTTGAGTAGTTATAACTAAGAAAAAAAGGACAACAGAAAAAGTAAATAATACCACAGTGTTCTATGACTAAAGCTTTATTAACATCAGATTATTTTTAATAATTATTTTTAAAATGCCAATTGGCCACCTATGACAAAATATGGCCATAACAGTGGCTATATTATAGAATATAAAATAAATGAGATTTTAAAAGATTTTATAATATAGTATTATAATATATATATTATGTGATGTGTGTGCGACGGCTCCGTGGCGCAGTGGCTTAGCAATGAGTCACAACGCTAAGGACCGCGGGTTCGAATCCCGCACGGAACAAATATTTGTATGGCCTACAAATAATTGTTCCGGGTCTGGATGTTTGTCCTTGTGATATTTATGTATGTAAACTGCCCTCACGATACAGGAGAAAATCTTAATGTGGAGGTAACTTTTTTTTAAGTAAAAAAGACAAAAAAAAATAAAAAAGATCTAAATAAATATTAGACATATTGACATAAAAAAGTGGCTTGTAATTTCCTAAATGATCCAGTCACTTACAGAAAGTTGCAAGATGCATGCCCTTTTTGGTGATATATGTAATTCAGATCAGTTTGGCAAATTGTTTTTTGATTCGGGTAATTAAAAACAACCAATGGGGGAATAACATTAGCCACGGCCGTTTCGCATGCTACTACTGTTACATTTTCTGTATACTCTGGTGCAACATGATGCACTTCTTTCTCTAATGATTTTTTCTGGCATTTCTTGGCAATTGGCAGCCTTTCTCGTTGATGTTTTAAATACATTCAGGTTTCTCCATCACTTCTAACCCGACCGTCTCTTACAACAATCTAGTTTAGTTTTTGTGCCCTTGCCTTGCCGGGTTTAAGTTCTGTGTCTTTCGAACAGATATCTCTGATTGACGAAAACGGTATCCTTCCATCCAATCTTTTCGATAATATTCGTATCCGTGATCTTACCAGGTATTGTAATATATATCGTAATAATTTTATGTTTATAATATCGTAGTGCACACTGGCGAAAACATTTTGGGGTGAAAGGGTAACACACGCTAGCTGTTCGAGTATTCGAGAAACAAGTTCATCTTTTGTTGTTAAATTAGCAATATGGGATGTCCTACAGTGGATTATTGGCATATAAAAATTATGACTATAAAATATAATTATAATATTAAAAATTATAGTTTATTTACCTTTAAGTAACAAATTAATGTTCGCTTTGAAATATTATTGGCTAAGTATCAGCAAGAACATTTACTCCATTTTCTAATACTGTGATAAAATTAACTGAAAGACTAATTGCCGCGTAACATCTGTAAGTAACGCCTTATAATTAGAAAGTAAAAAATAACCAATACGAATAAAGACAAAATTATTTTTTTTTAAAAACCAGCAAAGTGAATAAAACTAGTTTTTACCGATTTTAATGCGTATATTAACTTATTTTATATTCTCGACGTTTCGTGCAATTTACAGCACCCATGGTCACGGGGAGACTACAGTAAAGTGCCCTAAACGTCGGGAATATAAAATAAATTAAAATACGCGATAAAATCCGTAAAAACTTGTTTTATTTTAATGTGTAGTGTTCGCGTAAACATAAGAAATCATATAACAGCAAAGTGAATATGGCTACATGATATGATATCCATGTTACATGGCAGAACCTGTTGCCGGAAATCAATAAGTTATTGTAACTTGCTAAATTACTGCACTGGTATATATTTTTTAAATTCCATATGACTTCTATATTTTTGGAAGTAAAGACTAGAAATGAGTTGGGGGGTGACTCGAACTTTAGGCCTAGTCAGTTTGAATAGTCTATCATGTAGAGGATGGCATGGGGGTCATGGTTGAATAGGGGCAAAAAGTTCTCATTATGCTCTAGGGGGTTAAAATGGCAAAAATCCAAAAAATTAAAAATTCTTATTTCGGCTATAAATCCGCCTCCTTCGGAGGTTCTTACACAGTCTTTACTTCCCGCATCACACTTGTTTAAAATTCTATAGACAAGATCGAGTGACTTATGTATGGATGAGTTACCCGGCTGACCATGTAATTTACACTGACAGCGCCATCTGCTGATTGGTTGCCATAATAATAAACTGTTCCAGACCATATTACCCTTCCGTACCTTAGTGAAAAGCGAAAGAGATTGTTATTACTTAATAGTCTGTTACATATGTACCTATGTATTTTCTAGTTAACTTAATAATTAATTTTAATTTTAAGAACATTGAATAAAACTATTTTTTACGGATTTTATCGCGTTTATTATACTTATTTTGATTCCAGGCGTTTCGGGTGCTTTACAGCACCCATGGTCACGGTGGGGTCTGAGGTATTTGAATACTTATTTTGATTCCAGGCGTTTCGGGTGGTTTACAGCACCCATGGTCACGGTGGGGTCTGAGGTGTTTGACGTCCAGATGTCATAATTATCCTGGCTACCTTCAGTTTTTGAATATTAATTTTTTTATTAATTTTTGGTCCGATCTAAGGTCCGACGTAAGCTCATTCTTAGTAGATCGGATCAAAAATTAATATTGAAAAAGTGAAGGTAGCCGTGCTAACTATGACATCGGGACGTCAAACACCTCAGTTCCCCCGTGACAATGGGTGCTGTATAGCAACCAAAACGTCGGGAATTAAAATAAGTATATTAAACGCGAAAAAATCCGTAAAAAAAAATAGTTTTATTCAATGTGTAGTGTTCGCGTAAATATAATTAATCATTAATTTTAAGAATGTTATTGTTTTGTCATTCAATTCAAAGATTTATGAAAATTTACATCCTGCCCAGTAACAGATTATGGCCGACGATTGGCCACGTTTTAATATCTATTGTGTATTATCTTAAGTAGTGTTTACTGAATGTAGCAACAAAGGTCAGATAATACAAAAATAATTTATTAGGAATATTTATTATTGTTATCTTTAAGTTGACATCTATTAAGGTTGTATACATTCAACTCTAATTTCACAGATTAATCTGCTATTATGTAGACATTATTGCGAAACCGATGACAATACAATTATTTCATTGCAAACTTAATATTTTAACTAGGATCTATCACAGCTCGTGATAAATGAGTGTTAAGTTTTATTTTAACATAATAATATTATTATGGGGTGTCTATAAAGTTTTCTCATCTGGTTGGGCAATATAAATATATAATTGAAAATAAACATAGTAAACGTACATAAATATCAATAAAATAATATAAATACATAAAAAACACATAAATGTATAAAAACCCAACCAGATGGAAGCCGTCGGCAGGGGAGACCAAATGGCCGAGGGTTAGGGGGAAAGGGAAAGAAACCGGCGGATGATGCGGGCGGTATCGAGTAGCACCGCCTTCTGCATTTGAGCATGAAGCAGTCCGTTACGGAGTCCCAGTCGCCGTTATTATTATTGTTAATATTATAATTGTTATTATTTGGTTGTTACCGTAAGCTACTTAATAGCTTTAAAATTAAAATATTGTTTACTGATTTCTCAGAAAAATATTTCATAGATAAAAACTAGAATCATAGGAAAACAGTAAAGTTACATTTGACTACTTAAGAACTCTTCTAGTCTACTTCTAATAATTTTATTAATATTATAAAGTCAACATAAAGATGCACTGTCATTACTCACCAAATATATAAAAAGAGATTACTGTTGTTATTATGATAAGAAAAGCAAGTAGAGTTTTGTAAGTTTTACTGTAATTTTAAGGTTTAATATTATTTACACGAGTAAGTTACACCGCCTTGGGTTGTTACACCGACAACAATATTATGTAAAATACAAAATCTACGTATGACATACATAGTCTAATAAATAAATAACAAAATATATTACTGCACGTGATTTAGACCTACTGAGAATAAATTATGCCCCCTTTAAAAATTAACAACCGTCCGGATTGGACAAAGCGATTATGCGAACTATTGGTCCTTTCAAAAGTTCCTAATTACCGTAGATAGAGCAACTATTAAATTAGGCTGGTGCTCCCTTTTTCAATAAGTCTGTTTTTATAGTTAATCTTCGGAAAAGATTAATGTTATGTTTGAAAAGTGAGAGAGCCAGTATTACAGGCCACAAAGCATACAGAACTTGTCGTGTTTAGGTAGGGACAGTGTTTATGCAGACACAATTCTCGCAACTTTACAAGACGTCAGTTAGCCCTTATATGGAATCCTCTTCTCATCTCCGTACCAGCTTCTTTCATTTATGCGATGTCTTGACTTAGCATAAAAATAGCATCTGTTATTATTTGTATTTCTAGGAGGGCTTCAGAAGTGAAGTGGAGTGTGTTTGGCAGTGAGACATATTATATAGGCTGTAACTTTGCTTTAATTATTTGTACAGATTTATTTAAGTATAGCAACCCAATGGATAAGAATATTCGTGTATATGAATATGAACATAGACATTTGACTGGAACAGCTGTTACACGTTCTATCTCTGTTCCTATTAAGAAACCTGCCTAAGCAGTAATAAAGAAAAGCTTGTTCTAAACTGTTGTAGCCATATTTTGGAACAGGAACAGTTATTAAGTCTTAATAACTTGTTGTTAGACACAACAGCACATGAGTAAATAAACGGAACAAAGATAAAGCTTCATACAACCGCGCGAATCGGTGGCACTACTACAAGCACGCGGGGCACGTGCGCGTGACCACTGGCCGCTTGTCGCGTACGCGGCGAGACTGGAAAAACTCGGTGAAGCTGGCACAGCCAGTGGACAACAATTTCAGGGTCAGTGCGACGCACGTTGTTTGTTTTGTTAGTTACAAGTTTCAATATTTTAATATAAAAACGTGGTATTATTAATAATGGTTGTTGTATGAATAAAACTAGAAAAAATTAAAATATATCATACTTTAACTATCCCAAGGAGTACGCGGTAAGTAACTATTTCATTATTACTTTTTCAAGGTACAACACGGTGTGTTTTTACCTTTTTATTGTTATTATAAGCTTTTACTAAACATTTGTAGGTATGTGGGTGGGTTGATATATAGTAGGTATGTGTGTTAAGTTCACATATTGCAAGTAAGATTTGAACCACTTCCCGGTGTCTGATTGAGTTGAAATTTTGTATACCGTAACTTCAGTGATAATGCAATAATATGACAGATATAACCTAATGCTGCAGCCAAGAATGTCTCCTCACGAGGGAACTCTGTCAATCTTGGCAACGAAATACTTAAACGTATTAAAGATTGTAAATTTGATATGTCACGTGAGTGTTTCCCGTTAAATTACTTGAAAAAGCTTTATCTTATATTTAAAAAACAAAAATTACAAAAAGAAAATTATTAGTAATTTTGAATAATAAAACTATTTAACAAATGTTTTGTTTAATTTGACTTCGCTTATTGTGACAACCCTACCAAAATAGGTAACAATTTTGCACGTTCTTAACAAGCTTTGTCTCTGTTCCGTTTATCTACCCATGTGACAACAGGTCTAATCTGCTATTTTTTTTTAAACTTGTTGTTTTTTCTGTCGCGATAAATACGCCTCACAACTGGGAATTGGTTTTGTACAAAATTATTAGATCTTTGTCATATTTAGAACTGTTAGTAGACTGTAATAAAATACTATTACTCGTGTATATTTCCCAAGGCGGTGGCATCGTTGAAGTATTTAAGATAATATATCGAATTATGGAACCTTGTAATGTTTGTATTCCTTAAATTACCCATTAAGTTTCACTGTCTAAATAAGAGAGAACAAACGGATAAGAGAATGTTGTAAATATTTTAGACGTCTAATTATAAATTCAAAATATTGTTATATCGCATGGTATCAGCTTTTTAATATAATTTACTTTTAATTATTCACACCCAACAGTTAAATATAAGGTCGGGGAAAAAGTTTCTTCTTATTTTATATACAAATTGAAGACATTTTTTTTTTCAGTTTTTTTAATTGACATAATCCCGTTGATGTAGTGTGATTATTATACTTAATTGACATAATCCCGTGGGATTTTTGATCAAAAAAATGCGACAAGTAGTTTTGTTTTACACACAGCATATTGCGTGTTAATTCGGGTTTAGCTACAGTCTGTGGAGCTTCACTACCCTTTGACTATGATCTTTTTCACTTTTCATCGCCAATGATCAATCTTTTAAAAAATGGTTCGGTTTCCTTACATTTCAATAGAGAATCGCAAATGAGTACACGATTCATTAGGTTTCTTTCAGTGAGCTCGTTTGGTACCCAAATATCGGGCTTTTTGTATAGCCAGACTTTTTCAAATGGGTCAAAACTGTTCTTCGGCTATGTTGTAACTACTAAGTTTACGTACTACTTTATCCGTAAGAGAGCATCGTTTATGAGATCATAGTGAGCTGCGTATTTGACATCAAAATTACGCACTGAAAACGCTTCAGATAACTTTGTGCTACTCTTACTGATACTGCATTAGGTCCATAAACGTCACAAATTTTTTTCGCGGCTTGAGTCGCATTTTCACTTTTTTGTAATAAAACTTCAGAATGTATCGGATTTCTTCGTTAGATTCACTCTTCTCCAGAAAATTGTATAATAGCGAGAAAGTGTTTTTATTTTTCTTTTTCTTAATGTCCTTTATGTATTGATATTAAAACAAGCCAGATAGAAACAATACAATCAAAGAGATTTTTCTTCAATTTTATATAAACAAAATATCAAGAATTTTGTTTTCCCCGACCTTTATAATATTAATAAATATTAATCCTGAAGTTATGTAACACTATCACCAAAAATAGTAAGTAAAACATTACCCTCGTGGGGCAGTGGGTAAAAGTGGGTAACTATAATGTGAAGTTGCGCTAGAATATTTTTATGGCTGACAAACAAAACTGATGATGAACAAATAGTAGAAAACTTTTTTATATACATATAAGAGGGGACAAATGAGCATGCGGCTCACCTGATGGTAAGTGACTACCGTCGCCGTAGAATTGCAGGTGTGTTACCGTACTTTTAAAAATGATTGTTCTTTTTTTTTTAAAGATCGCTGTCGTATCGGTCCAGAAAATTCACTGGTGGTAACCGATTCCACTAGAAAGTTGTGTGAACTTACCCAAAATCTCTGAGTCTAAATTTCACAGACTGGTGACGGGGAACAGTACTATCGAGGCGAAAGTATTCGCTTTACTCTTACCAACTCGAGCGTGGTTAATATATAGGCAATACACACATACCAGCGGGATTAGCCAAGGTGACTTTCTACGAACCTTAACACGATAGAAAACTAAAAATGAATTAAATCACGTTACATTGCTTAACGTTCAGATATGTCATACCCATTAATTATTTTAGTTTTCTATAGCATGGATCGTAGAAAGTCAGCTTATACTTAGTCATGTCATAAGTTCTGTCAAAAACTTTATAAAATTAATAATACACTTTTTGATAATTATATAGATATTATATATGAAATGAAAGGTAATTTAATTTAGAATACAATTTTATTTACAATATTTAAAATGCCTTCCCCTATTTTGAATACATGCCCTTAATCGACGCGGCCAATCATCAATCGCAGCACGTATCACATTCATATCTATTTCTGCCGCTGCTTTAGCCAAAGATGCTCGGAGAGATTCCAAATTCTGATGAGGTTTAGCGCAGATTTTCTCCTCCAAATGTTGCCATATCTTGTAATCCAGTGGGTTTAAATCTGAACTAGAAGAGACCCAGTCTTCATGTCCGATAAATTCAATTCCATGGGTGGTCAACCAGTTTTGCGTGCTTCGTGCCCTATGAGCTGGTGCAGAGTCCTGTTGGAATATCCAATGTCTGTTTTTGTACATTGTTTGAGAAAGAGGTTCCACTATTTTTGTTAGGACGGTATTTTGGTACACCTCGGCACTGGTTTTTACACCTTTTTTACAGAAAAACACCTTAGTTAAGCCTGAATATGAGACTTTAAGCCAAACCATGAGTGACAAAGGATGATGTTTTCGTTGAATCCTCGGAATACGCGAGCTAGCTTCTTCACTGCTGTAGGCATACACCTTATCATTTTGTGTATTATAACTTTCTTCGATGTTAAAAATTTTTTCATCCGAAAACAAAATTTCGCGGTATTTTTTCCCGCGTACCGCCGTAACAACGCGCGATTTCTATCCAGCCGAATTTTTTTTCAAACGCTCGTTCAAAAAATGTCCGGTCTTCTTACGATAAGCCCGTAGTCCTAGGCCTTCATTGATCACTCTTTTGACCGTGGTTCTGGTTAGGCCCATCTGAAGAGCTAAGATTTTTTTGTTTACGAACAGGATTTCGTTGGATTCGCGCCTTCACTGCTTTGATGATCGCGGGTGTCCTGACTGTACGAGGTCAGCCGGTCCTCTTACGATCTTCGAAGCTTGAATCTTCAGTGAATCGTTTGATAGTGCGATAAACAAATCGTAGGGTTATTTTCAAGTTATATTTTTAAGATTGGTGAAGTTCATCTAGCCAGTATTCAAAAATGTTAAATAATAAGGTTTTGACCATCGATATATATGTACTACGCACTAGATTTCGCATTCCGAACATTGACTATGTTCAACTAAACTGTACTGCAATCCGTACAAACTAAATATTGCGTAAATTGAATATTTGTGAATTCCATAAGATAATTATTATTTACTCTCTTTTTATTTTTATTTAGAATTTATTTTATTTAGAAATATGTTTGTTTAGATTAAAATGAGATATTTTATATTAAATTCTTATATTTATTTTTTATATTAATATCTTAGTCTTTTATATCATTTTTTTTTATTTATAGTATTTTATATCAAAGTCTTCGCGCATGCGCGAGAGTATTAGTCACGACATAGAGTAGGACACAATTTTTGTTTGGAATGGCTTCTCTAGAACATAGTACATATAACTCAATGGTTTTGACAGAACTTATGACCCGACTAAGTATATACCCCGCCGCTAACACAGTCTTGGAAATACATATGGCTAATGACAGCAGATTAGTCAAGAACTGTTGATTTAGTGCCAGCATTACAGTTTTGTCGTCATGGACTCGTGAGAAGAAAGCTTACAAGTAAAGCTGGGTTCGTTGTGACTAAATGTTGATTTAGAAATAAAGCCGAAAATGTTTTTTTAACAGAAGTACTTGGCCGAACAAAAACACTTTCACATATCCCATGTTTGCCTAAGGAAGGACATACATTTTTTTTATGTGGTAGAGCCAGAGTTGCAGCTATATTACTGGTATAGTTGTAGCACGAATGGTTCGGCTCGAGCGGAGAAGGACCACGCTCTCACAGAATACCAGCGTACAGTCCACAGACACCTGCAGCTGCAGCCAATTCCAAACCAAGAATGCTACAAATACAGCGTTGTCACCTCTCTGGAGTCTGGACTAAGATGAAGGAATGCCTCACAGCAGGGTCGTTGTAATCGAAAATGGCACCCAGGGCACGCATCAAGGTTGCGCCCCTTCGAAAATTTTCTTAATGTAAAAAACAGATACACTAAGTAAAATAGTCATAAATCTTACAAAACTTATTTATTATCTATTTTATAACGAAAGTAAGTCTGCGAAACCGTTACACATAGAAAGAATTGCACCTTCCTGACCTTCACGTCGCAACATATCGATGATGTTTTTGAAATCAATTTTTTTTCGTTTCTTCTTGACCCATTTCATTCATTCATTACAGGCTATCAAAAGTCCACTACCGACCGTTGGCCCCCTTATGGATTGGATATCATAGGGGGTTATTATTATTATGTGCGAGCAGCTATGCAGGTCTAGAGAGATAGACCAGTATCACTGCGACCTAAAAGATATATTGTGATCGCCTGCTATGTCTATAGTTCACTGCTCAGCCCTACGTCCTCAATGAATAGAAGGAGTTGCTTAGCTGTGAGCAATTTCACTTCTTCTGAGCGGAGTATATAGTTTTCCAGATGAGTGTTATGTTTCTGCATTAAGGGTCCACAATCAGGTAGGATATGTAAAGGCGTTTCTTCCTTTAGGGAACAAAACCGGCACATCCTTGAGTTGCTTAGTCCCAGGATGGTCATGTGCTTTTTTAGACAAGTGTCCACAGTCAGGACTTACCAGAATGCGCAATTTATTTTTAACTAATCCCAGGGCTTCCGAAGCGAATTTACGATAAAAAGCCGGGATTAAGGTTTTAGAATATATTAAGCCTGGTTTATCAGACCTGATCTTAAGTGATTTATTGTGATAAAGAGTTTCAAGGGTCAATTGGACGAGGCTTTCTGAGATTCCACAAAATGGCTCGGGTGCAAATTGTGTACTCTTTGAGCCCTCCCGTACGAGCTTGTCTGCAATTTCATTGCCTACAATACCCGCGTGACCCAGAACTCATCTTAAAACGACCCTCTTGTTACCTCCCAAGACGGTTCACGCAGTCTCCAACTAGCTTCGAGTTCACCAAGTTCTATCTCAGCGCTAGCAGTGCTGCTTAACTATCAGAGTTAATATATTGTTGTAAGCTTGGGGTTCGAAGACAATTAAAGAAAACTGCCGATTGAAGTACCAAAATTGACACTTTAATTACAGAACACTAATTACAACTTCAAACCACACTAATAATGAAACACAATTGTACTACTGATCACTTTAGTTTGCAATTGCATTGCTTCGAAATATTCGCTTGTATCGCCAATTCAATGTTGCCCCCATAGATTACCTTATACCGCCTTTATATAGGGCCTCAGGTAGTTTCCAGAAACTTCTAATTGTTCGAGTACATATCGGTCCCGATTGACTAGCTGTCGATAGTTCTAGAAAGTTCTTCCATGGAAATTTCTAGAAGGATCTTGACTCTTCTAGTTCTGCTACTCGATACTAGAGGGCGCTAGTGGTAATTATTGTTGTTGTATGTGTTGTTATTACCTTCCATTAATTGTGGCGCGCAACATTATATTATATGGTTGACGTAATTATTTTGCAGATTGTTTTCCGCACACTGAAGTATGGCAAAAATTTCTGCCTGAAAGATAGATGTAAATCTACCCAAATTCATACTAATTTTCAATTTGGGGCTTTCCCTATAAATTCCAAAGCCCTACGTCGGGGTCCATTTTAACCCATCGATATACTATATAAAGCTACCGACCTCACAGATGACCTGTCAATTCAGCCAGTCTTCTCTGAAGGGTAGTTCCACTGTACACTTTTTATTAAAAGTATATAGTGGACGCATGATATCTGAGATCATGCATAAGACCGGTGTTTCCTTAATTGAGTCGAGCATGGATCTCAATCTATAGGAAAGGACGCTCAAACCGCCCTTGGCGTTAAATCTATACAAACTAGCCCTCGCCTTCTTGTCTAAATAAAGATCAAGGGGCGTTGGGCCTAGAAGTGCATTAAGAGCCGCTCCAGGCGATGATCGCATCGCTCCAGTTGCCATTAAGCAAGCAGTCCTTTGTAGACTATTTAGTCTGTCCGCAGTCGTCTTTTAGTTGACCTTATTACACCAGACAGTGGAGGCGTAAGTAACAATCGACCTCACTATGCTGCTGTACAGCCATAGGATTATACTGGGACGCAAGCCCCAGTTGTTCCCGACTATATGACTGCACGTACCTAAAGCAATTTTAACCTTATGACACGTTGCTAAGGTGAGAGTTCCACTTAGTTTTTGGTCAATTGTTACGCCTAAGTACTTAACTTCAGTGGAGAATAGTACTTCTTTATCATTAAGTTTTGGTGTGACTAATTTGTCCAACAGTCTCTTTTTAGTAAAGGCTATTATAACAGTTTTATCAGCATTAACTAATAAACTGTTATTATCCCTGCACCAGCTGTTTATGGTGTTTAAGGATCTTTGTATGATGATAAAATACTTTGGCAAAAGCCCCTCTTAATGATCACAAGATCATCAGCATAACTCAGTGTGTCAATGCGAAGGTCTGCCATCTTTTACAATAATTAGTTAACCGCAAGAGTCCAAAGAAAGGGTGACAAAACACCGCCTTGTGGACAACCTCTAGTTGCAACCTCAATTGAAATTTAAAACAGCGCTATTTTTGCCTTTCTGTTTGAGAGCACCGACTTCACCCACCTGGTGGTCGTGGGGTCAACATTTTTAGATGTCAGTTCTCCAACCAGCAGTGATGTGGGGCTACTGTCGAAGGCGCCTTCAGTGTCTAGAAAGGCACAGAGAGCTACTTCTTTATCCTCTTTCGACCCTGTCAACAATACTGATCAGGGCTGTTTCCGTAGATTTGCCACTGCGGTACACATGTTGGTTGTAGTGTATACGCCTCGTAGCTAGAGCTACATCCCTAATACAGAAACAGAAACTTTTTTATTCAATATATAAATAATACTTATTGAAAGTCACTCTTTTCTATAATTACCACTGGTTCGAAAAAAACCTTTGTCCTGGGAAGAACCAGCAAGAAACCCAGCGGGACTTTTTTTTAAATAATAATATAAAAATAATATATCTATCTATAACCTTTTCCAATGTTTTAAGAAGAAAGGAAGAAAAAGGCTTATAGGTCTAAAGGACTTTGGTAAAGCGTAGTCCTTTCTACCAACCTTAGGAATAAATAGAACTGACAATTGTCCATTGTCCTGGAATATGCTAAACTTGCTCTGAAGATTTTCACCAGATAAGGAAGAAGGATATCGATATCCCTCTGTAGTTGGATGGGAATTATTCTATCCTCCCACTTGTCTTATTTGGTTTAAAAGAGTCAACAGCCCATTGCACCAGGTTTGCCCTTATTATCTCTGCATCCCTACACCAGTCCTCATTCCAAGGTCTTCGTAGGGCTCTAAAAGAGTTCGAGACAAGTCTTATGTGACCCTGGGAAATGG